TTTATGCTCAGATTGCTCATTCTTTCAGATTGGTTGCTCAGTCAGGCTGAGCAATCATTGAGCCTGATTGCTCAGTCAGGTTACATCTGAAACGCCCCAGATACAGGTGCGTACTCCTAGCAGCACACCAGAATAAGATTAAGATATACATCATCCTTCCCAAAACTCACTGGTAGAAGCAAGACTATGAAATATCCTACTAATCTCTTAGTTACGCAATTGGAGAACCAGGACTGCAGAGTGTCCTCAAGTCCATTTGCTATGCTTTAAACTACAACTCATTGACCTTGTTATCAGGTTCAACATACCTCAACTCTCTGATCTGCTTATTATAGGGCTCAGACACACAACCAAGATCATCAGCTGGTAAGCTGAGCCCCAGTTGCTGTCTGTGCATCCAATTGCAGCCACAACAAGTAACAGGTGCATCTACTTCAGCTTCTTAGCTTCATCTGGTTTACACTTTTTGAAGCAAGTTTCCCTAATATCCTGATTTACTGTGTGTTGTTTCATAGCATGGAACGGTTTTTGGGTTGTACGAACTAAACTGCTTCCAGATTAAATCAAAGGAGCAGATCTAATACCTGCTACCTGGCAAGGAGTCTCCAGGTGACAGAATGAGACTAGAGCTAATTTAAAGTAAAAACACTACAGCATACACGGCATGAAGGCTGGGCACTCAGCGTTAGCTTTCTCTACAAAACCCCTCCTTTGCCCCACGCTAGCATAAGCACAGCCACTGTCTACCCCTCCATTTATTCATCTTTCACTGGTTAAGAAATTGACTGAAATAGCCATGTGCTGCAGGCACCCATGACTATTCCAGCCCCAGCAGCATTCCGCAGCTACCACCAACCCACAGTAAGTACTACTCTGCACTTTCCTCCCCACATACCTGTGCCTTTGGGATGCGATCTCTCACCGGCACATCACAGCACTCAGACCTTACTCACTCACAGTTTCCAGCCCAAGTCTTTACAGACCCTCCTGACGAGCTTCTGGACAGCCCCCAGTCCCTTGTTGCAGCAGCTGCTTGTGAGTAGGTGCCAGGTGAGGGCTGAGGAGCCCTCCACCACCCCTCGTGGCCTTCTGTCCCAGGGAGCAGTGCTGCTGCTGCTGCTGCTGCTCTGCTGCTGCTGCTTGCACAGGTTCGTGCTGTGCTGCTCACAGCCGGGTCCTGGCTCCTCCACGGTGCTCAGATAACGGCGAGCATCCAGGCTAAGTTCTTCACAAAGGAAGTTTCCCCTAAGATTAACATTTCTGTGGATATGAGGAATTGCTCAGCACTTGACATTTTAAGCAGAAAGGGGCACTCCTGATAGTGGGAAATTCGGGATACGAGAGTAATCCAGGAACAAAAAGAAATCCCGTACTTCAGGTAAATTGTCCAAGTAATCCAGCACTGTTCTTCACAGCCTCTAGCAACAGCGATCTAAACACCTGAAATTAGAGAGTATTACAACAAATGGCTTGAAATAACCTGAAGCCTTTATGTACAACTGTTTATATACAACACTTTAATACTGTTAAAAATTCAGAAATCTAAAACTCCTTATGGGCAGAGCATGCACAGCATTGACTAAGGTCAGTACTGCTGCAATGCCAATACACCTTGTACAACGATTTCCTTAAAACTTTTGGAATTCAGAGTAAATATTTCCACTGCCATTTCATTGGAAATTTTGTGACTGGAAGAAAACCAAAGGATTTTAATGAGCGCGTGATATATAACTTGAATAATAAAAAGGAAGAGTCCTGACTGAGGGGGAGCAGAAAAGCAATACAGGCAGCACCAGGGGAAGAAGTGGGCTAAAGCTCTTCAACATACTCCAGGAGCAGCTGGTGCCTTGACAGGTTCAGCACTAACAGTACAGGCCCAGCTTCGCTGTGTTACACTGGTATTGCAAGTATTGAAAAACTAAGAAAATCTTTACAAAAGTATTTTTCTAGTAGTGAGATCCCATTCAAAATTTTACAGGAAAAAACACTTTTCCTTCCTAAAGAAAACTCCAGCCCAAAGCAGACAGGAGAAACGAGTAACTGAGGAAGCCTGGGCTGCACTACAAGGCAAGAGCAAGCACTAGTTTTGGAAGAATCTTGTCTGCTTTACAACCAAGTATGCCTTGCTTTAAGTTCCCAAGAACTGGATAGAGGTTTCTTACTGTTCCCTGTGTGACCGAGTTGTATTTCTGCTAACAAAGGCAGCTTTTGTTTCCCAGTGGGCTCGTCAAAGGCTTTCTGCCAAAACTTCCTTTGAGAGAAAACTGTCCACTAAACAGATATTTTACCAGGAAGATCCTGCTTTCCACAAATCTTCTTGGGATTTTGTTGTTGTTGTTGTTGTTCTTTTTTTGTTCTTTTTTTTTTCCCCCAGAAATCTGAAAAGTTTTGGTTTACATGAATAAATTATTTGTTCATTTTTGTGGGTTCCAGTGAAGACAAATAAACAAAACCAGAAACAATTACAGCTTGCCTGGCAAGGCAGTCTACATATTGCTGAGTAACCTGGTGATAGCCTGAGGCTAAAATAACACAAAAGATGATGGTATATTTCTACCCTAGCAGCACCGTGCTATAATTTACTATACATCCTGCCCTTGCTCATTTTTTGTCAGTGCTCTCTCCTCCATTTTACTCCCCCAACAGAAACACTGAAAAACAAGGATAATACTGAGGTGATTTTAGATAGACATTGTTCAAATTTGGGAGGCAGAGGTGCCTCTGGGGGAGGCTGGGAAAAAGGCTGACATACAGTCAGGAGAACCATTAATATGTACAGCATGTGCAGTGTGATCCTGCAATGGCAAAATCATGTTAAAGGTTTGATTTATGTAGATAAACCTGGAAATATCATACTGACAGGAAATTTGCTCTGATGTGTGTATGAACTGAAATGCTACCAGAGAGTGAGGTATAGCGACCTACAGCAATTTCTTTCCTGAGTGACCAGTCAAAGAAGGGGCTGATTTTTTGTACAAAGGTCCAGATATCAAACAGTTGTGATCTTTCACAATTCACAAGGCAGCAAAACGGACTGAGAGGCCCCTTCAAGAACTTTAAAAGGAAATTCAATGCCCTTGTCTATTTTCTTTGAATGCTACCAAGGAATCTGTTTATAAAATTATGAAACTGGTTGAGCTCTCTAGCAATTCATGTAGACCTATTAACATGGTACATTTGTACTTTTGCTTTTTGACAGAAATCACTGAAGTTATGGAATGGGTAACAGCTTCTCTCCTGAGAGAGACGTAATGGTAATCTATGACAGAACTGACCCCAAATTCTCAGACACTTACTAAAGAAACAGAAACAAGTTTTCTTCTCACAGTCTAGGTATCACATTATGTTATTTCAGAGTTCACATGTTGCTATAATTGCTGTTTACATGTTTATTGAAAAAGACTCACTCTAAATTCTTCCTAGCATCCACATTAAATATTTACTTGTAAAATTTTAATAGCATACCCTCCTAGCTAAAAAAAAAAAAAAAAAAACTAAACCCAAATCCTAGCGCATATATGAAGCAAAACATTCTAAACACTGTGTAAACTGTAATTTTTTCCTAAAGTACAAGAATGTTTATGCTCTTCCCTAAGGCGAGAGAAACAGAGCAGCATACCACTCCATATTTGTAAATGGGAACTCTGCAAGGTAGAAACCTGCTTCTGTATGCAGCAGGCTTCTGTTTCTTCACTGCTCTAAAAGCCTTAATATGACATATGGGTATGTATAAATTGAAACAACAAAGATACATGGCCCCGCTGCAGAAAAACGTGCAGTCTCACTCTTTATTCCACATATCATCCTGACTTCAAGAAACCTTTCAAAATTGCCTCCAGAAATGCATCTTAGGTACCAGACCAGTGGCCTAATAGTATACTGGGGATAATTCCAGGGGTCTGTGGGACAGTTGCACCCTCAAATCTGATGTATATCAGAAGTAACTTTCCTAGAGTCAGTGGGGACTAACTCTGCTGCTGTGAGTGTGGTAGAACTATACTACTTTACAATTTTTCAAGAAAATGCTCTGAGAATTAATAAGGATAACATATCAAATCCACCAACTGAGTATTGTATAGAGCCAAAGTACTCACACCAACAGGTAGAAGACTGAGAGCAAAGAACCCAAGGACAGCCCTTTTATGTGTAAGTGTCATTCTAAAATAGAGTCCTGCAAGCATCCTGGTTAATATAACACACTGTTTGCCAAATATGTACTTCAAAAATAGCAGTCAACTGTATGGCATACCTTGAGCAGTGTTAAAGCTGTCTAGGTTTTGTTATACAAAGACTATGATAAGTTATAACATGCTGCCAGTGGAAAAAGAAGTGAAACACAAAAACCCAAGCTGCATAAGATTCTTGAATGAGTACTTAATGGGGAAGGTTAAACCATAACAGGCATGTCTTAACTTTAATAAATCAGGGCACTTACTCAGATGACTAAACATGGATTTAGGATCTCCAGCGATTCAGATGTTTATAGTTTGGCAAATAAACCTACAGCTGGGCATCTAAGGAAAAGTGTCCAGTATACCAGAAGTCTGTATACCTACAGCTCTTAACAGCATGTAGATGTTGACATTCTGCCCAGAGGAGCCTGAAGTTATACACTCTTCTTTTAAAATCTTGGCATAGATTTCAGCTCTGGTAGTCTTTCATTTGGGGAGAAACTAGTAAGATTTTTTGCATTTCTGCTAAACTCTGATTAATTGATTGTTGTCCCAAAATGCTATGTCTTCCTTTTTTTAAAAACAAATTCCAGCCTGTCTGACATCTAGCTCACAAGCTCAGCAAAGCAAAAGTTTTTGTGTTTGTTAATAGTGGCCAGAACAGTATTAACCTCAACTGGGACGTTATTAATTTGTGGTACCAGAAATTTATCATCAATAATACTGTTCCTTTTTCTTTTGCACAGACAAAAGTTGAGGACACAGTTGCTGCTGTTTTCAAATGAACACTAATCGTGCAATTTGGAATTTGTTTTTGACTCATTGTAGGTTCGCAGCAAGAGCAAAGCAGCTAAGGCTGGACTGTGTGAGGGAGATGAGGTGGTGTCTATCAATGGCAAGCCTTGTGGAGACTTAACCTATGCTGAAGTTATCGTTCTAATGGAAAGCCTGACTGATGTCCTGCAGATGCTTATCAAGAGGTACAGGAATGCTCAGAATGCTTTGGTGCGATTCTGTTCAGTGAACCACATGGAAAATGCTGGTTTTGAATACACTCATTTTGCAGACATATACTGTGAGCTTCTGATAGTCCTCTTATTTAAGTCTGTAAGTCTGCTTGTCTGTGTGGAAAAGGGAGGGAAGACAGTATTTGATCTGAAGAAATTAATGTATATAATTCAAACAGTGCATTTCAGGCACAGAATTAAGAGTAAGGTCTCCAAATGTAATGATTTTATTTCTTATTAAGTATTCTTAACACTTACAAGGTGTCCACTACTATATCTGCATACTGCAGAGTCTTAAGTTCATTTATTCTCTCCACCCCTTTGAAGTAGTGAAGTGTTGTTATTCCCCACAGATAGGGAAGTGAGGCTTACAAAAAGCAAAGGCTGTATAGATGGAGAAAGTGTGTTACACAGATATGCCTTGATGATGACATGGCAAATGGTCTTCTTGGGTGGCAAAATGTGTTAGTAGTCAGGAGGGGGAGAGGGTCTGGAAATCCTGAATTCTATTTCTGTAGCTGTTAACACTTCACTAGATGAGGTGGGGCAAGTCACAGCTCTCTGGGTCTCAGCTTCTCCATTTCTAAAATAGTGCTGGTGAATTTCAGTTGTCTTTGAAAATGCTTTGAGCTTCTTAGAGTAGAGAACCTTCGTGTAAATTTGCAAGCAAGCCAGCATTGCTGCTCACTGCACGTCAGTCTATTCTAATGACTGTTCTGTAATTGTCATCAGCATAATGCATGCAATCTTGAGTTCAGAACCACCTACAGTAAGCACATTCTCCCCAGACTTTGTGAATTCAGACAAGATGAACCCTGAATTGCCTTCAGTGTGGGTAAGAGGAAGAAGAAAAGGCCTGAAACTTCCACACTCTCTGTAAGGAATTATGGCTCCCCCCTGAGCTACTGCAGTTCCCTGTGTCTGCTCTCCCACAGGCAGGACCAGGAGCACAGAAGGGGTCAGGTTCATCACAAGACCTAACAGAGCAGTGTCACTGGAAAGGCCAAAAGGACTCTGGTGCAAAAAAGGCACTTGTCTCTGGTTAACAGCAATGTCTAAACAGCATGTGAAATTCCTCTGTGGTTTCAGCAACCTGCGCAAAGGAACTTTCTTAAAGTGTCTCATAGTTCAAAGTTACAATCTGCCTTCAAAACAAGATGCTCTCAAGGAGTATTCATTTTATTTATAACAGACATTTTGCATGGCCTGTCTGTGCATGTTGTCTTGGGCTGAGTAATGGATCAATGTGATGAGATCAGGGGAACAGTGATAGCTGAGGATTACAGCTTACCTTCTCCACAATGCATAGCTCTTTTTTCTGGTCCAGCAGCATACCATTTGAATGGTCCTCATGTGAAACCTGCATTCTTATGTTTTTAATTCATGACTACTGGAACAGCACTTGTAAAAATGGTATTTGTGGCTGACCAGCTGTCATCTTTGCAGCCATAGAAATAGCTCCATATGCCTTGGCTCCTGCCTGTTGCTGCTCTAAAACTGATATCTCAGTTGGTCTGAAGGCCACAGTACGCTCCAGCTGAAAGTGCAGCACATCTTCCATTCACTCCATTGCTCCTGCTTGAATGTATGGTGAACTGCAAGACATCGTGAAAATCAGAACCAAAACAGAGTGCTTAGACAACATAATTCAGTGTCTCATGGAATGAAGCTGTGTCTGCTAGAAATTTTAAGAAAATTGCAGTTGCTCAACACTCTGAAAGTGACTAAAATGTTCTAAAGGAATTCACCGTGAGAATCTTTGCATTTCTTCTCATCAGCTCATCTCCCCCAACTCCCAGCCCCTACTGTCAGCATCTTCCAGGGTATGGGAGAATAAACCAAAACACTTCTCTTCCCCTGCCATCTCCTTTGTGGAGAGTAGCCCTCTCAGCACTACCACCAGGATTTTTCGGGAAGTGTCTTAGCATCCTCTGAGAGCAATGAGAAGCAAATCCTTCCTTTTCTGAGCAGCCACTTTTTAGCAGCCATCTCAAGAAAACGCTGGAAATCATGAGGAAAGAATAAGGCCTAATTAAAGTGGTATTCCAATGGTGAACTTTACATCCAAGCATCTTTCGCTGGCAGGGGAGAATATTTCTCCTTGGGAAGCTTCTGACTGCTGCTGAACTATTTGCATGAAGGATGAGATTTTCATAGGCATTCATTGTTGGCCTAATTCTGCTCTTACGAAGCTTACTGGGAGAAAAACTAGGCTTTTAAAGTAGTTTTTAAAAGGTTACTTGGCCTTTGATGTCTACAAAAAGTTTTCCCAATCCCCTGTAAACCACAGTCAGTTACTGACCAGCAGCACCCACAAAATCTTCAGTTTATAGGATCAGAGGAAAGAGACACCCTGCAGGGCAGGCACTCTCCAGATGCCATGTCGGGGAGCATCTTACTGACCTTCCCGACAAATGCTGGACAGATGTATCCGGGAAACATCAAGAGTGGGGACAGAAACAGAAACGCTAGCCTGCCCTTTCACTTCAGTGTGAGCAACTCTTGGGCTACTGTTGTGTCTAGAAAGAACATTTCTAGGGGGAAATAGGGAATGTGCTACGTGCATACCAAAATGAAATGCACCATGTAGGGAGTAAAACATGACTCTGAGACAAACCCTGCCATGCTGACTCCATGAGTTCTGCTTCCTTCCTGGAATTACACCAGGGGTGTTGTTCCTGGTGTGAGCTGGAAAGACGCGAAACAAAAATAATATTTTCACAAAACAGAATCTTAAGTGACAAAAAAAGGGATCAGACCCAGTATTCTGCCTCTTGACGCATGGATACACATTTAGGTCTATATAGAGTAGAAGTATATCCATAAGTAGTACGGGCCTTTTAAGGTGTAAACCTTTCTCTCTCACACATACACACAATCAGTCAGCTACCAATAAAGGCTAACATTTAGCTGGCCCAGCCCCCAGTCTCATATCTTACAAGGAAATGTTTATGGATTTCTGTAATTTATCTGTACTTAAGAGCAGTACAATTGATCATCCAAATAGCATAACCCGATGGAATCCAGCAGCACTGACAAGGAGGTCCCTAAATTAAAATCTGTCTGAGCTTTATGTAGCTCCATATGTGGTTTAATGGCTGTTAGACATTTTGTGCTATTTGAGGCAGACCCAAACTGCTACAAACAGTATGCTGCATGGCTAGAAAAGCAAGTGATATTGAAGTTTCTTCAGTGCACTGACAGATGTATTTCTTCTGTTGCTTCTTCCAGCCTTTCTTTGTAGGGGGTTCCAAAGTTTCAGAATACCTGGGACCTGCTTTTGATTTCAGAAATCTCCATAATACTTGATATTAATACTTTACTGAGGGTACATACCGCTTCCCTCATTCGAAAAAGTGTTTTGCTACCTTCTAGTCAACAGAAAGCCTTAATAACATGCTGCAGTCTTGCTGTACAGAAGAGGTTTCTTCTCAAATTAATAGCAGTCAGTATGGCCCAGAGTACTGAAAGAAGAAGCTAGAGAGTGCACTACAAGTCCTAACACCAGTAAAACAGCCTGAGTGGGCCAGGGGAATGAATAGTTTAAAAAAGGGAGCTACAGTGAACTATATAGTAGGCTTCAGGAAGTCAAAGTAACATTTGCCAGTTAGAAATATATATTTTTTAATAGCTAGGAAATATTGTATGGGTTCACTACCCTTTTTCACCGATCACTGGAATAGGCCCAGAATGTTTTAATTGTTCCCTGATATATAAGGATGATGATCCTCACAGGAATTCTTTGAATGTGTGTTTTAAGTATTCATTCCCCTCCCTCTGGTCCTCATCCAGTACTAATCTATTCCTTAGAGAGTAAACTATTTGGGACAGGAACTGTATGTGAGGATGGTGCCTAAACCAGTTGCAGTAGTAGCCACAGAGCCAAAAATTAACCACTCTTCTGGTGTCATGCAGAGTAAATTTTCTCATGCACATGTGAAATATGAAGTATTGTCCCAGAAGTCTCAGCAGCATTTGTCTGGAAACACTGTAACAGAAATGTGTCTGTGAAAGCATACTGATGTTAGGAATGATATAATTCAACATTGCAGAAGGATGGTAGTAGGATCATAGTTCTACCACAGTAGTGTAATTTCCCTCTTACTGAACTGTTAAGTTGACGAATTTTGAAAGATACAAAGACACTTCAATTTAAGACCTCTACATTCTCGGAAAGTTCTTCGACTTAAATGGACCTGCTAGCAGGTACCACAATGAATATAGGGGAAAAAATACTATACAGAAATTGCTTTTGTAACTGTACTTACAATTGCTGTGCTTACAGCAGCTTAATTTCTTGAATTACTCGTTTATGTATGTGCAGATCCTCCAATGGAATAAATGAAACCTTGAGTGCTGAAAGAGAAAATGGAAAGCACGATAACATAAAAAATGAGGACTACAGGGAGACTACTACACTGCAAATTAACACAGCGAAAGAGGTACCCCATGGAGATTTATGCATCACAGAGATATACAGTGAGACTCACCAGGGAACAGGAGAAAGCAACATACACTTTTCTGAAACAAAACAAGAGACCACACAAAGCCACAGAATTACTCCTAAAGTGATAGGCACCTCCAAAGTGCTCATGACAGATGAGGCTGCTTTCAGAGGGAAGACAGAAGAAAGAAGGCCAGGTACTATGGTTGAGCTGCAGTTGTCCCTCTCAAATGACACGCACAAGGGCACCAATGCTCCTGCTGTGACTCTCTTAGGGGCAGAAAAATGCACCCCTTCAGGAACAGGACCCAGTGTACAACAAGACAGGACTAGCCCTGTAGTCGCAATTCCCCTGGGCGTGAAAGAGGGCAACGTCCAGTGGTCAAGCAAAGTAGTCCAGTTTTCCAGTGGCAAAGAGGTCAAGAGGATCCAAGGTGCAGCTCCATCTCTCCCCAGGGTGGAAGTGATCCTAGACTGTTCAGACAGGGAGAAGGAAGCGCCCAGGTCTCTAGCTGAAAGGGGGTGTGTTGATTCTCAAGTAGAAGGAGGGCAGTCAGAAGCACCTCCTTCCCTCCACTCCTTTGCAATCTCATCAGAAGGCACAGAGCGGGGAGAAGACGACCAGCACTCGGAAAGGGATCACAGACCTCTCAAGCACAGGGCGAGGCACGCAAGTAAGTATGTCCCATCTAATCACTTGCACTGCCTGAGGGTATCTTTTGTAACTTTAAACGTAATTTCAGAATTTAGACTGCATTAGAAAAAAAATGTTTAGAGTTTTTTTCTGCAGTTTTCTAACTTTCCCTCTGTCTTTTTCTTTTAAACGACGTTTCTGTTCTTGCTTTATATATTTTTTCAGGGTAATACAACGCTCCTGGTGATGAGCCAAGAGTATACCCATGCCTTAACTGTGCGGAATAACTTTGCTTAGTAGACTTCCACTTTGAAATTAACTCACAACTTTGTCTAACTAAAAATACTTACATGTCCAAAAAGGGCTGAATTCCGCTGGTCTTCTAATGTATATTCAGAGGCAATCTGTAGAATATTAACAAAAAAAGCAAGTTGCTTGCACATGTCGAAGTGAATCCTGTGGATTTCTCCTTTTATAGCAAAAACTTTGTGTTGTCATTTGCATCATCTAAAATCAAAGCCATGCCACTGCTCTTAAAAGTTAATAAAAAAGGCTAGTAGAAAAGCTTGGTGTTGCCTGCAGAAGAGATTTTGACAGACACCAGCATGTGTATAACTGTTACATGATCCTTTCAGTTTTGTCAGTCTTCTCCAGACTGTAAAGTGAACATGCTATTTCTTCTGACTCCCATACCCAGAGGTCAGCTTCAAAATGTGTCCAAGAAGTTCACAAGAAAGTAAACTTGCAACTGGATCCAATATTAATTAACCGAGTGTAGATATGTATTATTTATTTATGTGTCTATTTATTTATTGACTATTTTATTCATTTGGGACCTTTCTATCGGTTGCTTGCTCTTTCCCAACAATGTTAAGAATCCTGTCTGGGGATTTAGCAGCAGTATGTCAAAGGTGCTTGAATGTGTGCAGTGATATACTGTAGCAACAAGCTATTTCACATGCAGTGTTGGAATTAGTCTGCTAACCCACTGCTAATTCCTCTGTAAGCATATTTTTAGCATGATAACCATTTGTATCTTATTGGCAAGTGGATTAAGCAGTTACTTATGCCTAAGTGTCTGTATGCAATCCACATATTTTTGGCATATTAAATGAAGCATAAAAGAAAAGTGCACATGCTTTACATTTTGGCTGCGAAGTTAGAACCAACTGTGGGGCTGTGCCTGTCTTAGAGAATTACTTGCAGTGCCTCTCTAATAAGGCAAAAGTACAAAGAATGAACTACATATTACATGATAAACTCTGCTCTAAGGTAGGACATAGATTTGGTCCTTTCCCCATCTCAACTACGACAATCTCAATTCCTTCTAATCTAGTGGCAGGTCATTATCCTTAGGAACCACTGATTTAATCTATAAAAATGTTTGCTTTTATTATTATTATTATTTGTAAAATCCTATCTACACATTAGAACAAACAAGTTGCCAAGCACAGGGGAATAATCTGTGTGCAGCAAATACTATGTGTGTTTTTTGTAGAATTAGAAGTTATAATGCAGCATTTAAGTCTAAACTAGAGAATAACATTTATTATAGGTGTTTGATCTCTTTAGCAGAAATTTTCTCTGTAAATAGTAATCAGATTATATGTACCTGAGCAGGTAACATTTCTTCTGCCATCTTTTGAAACTATTGATTAAGTAACTACTCAGATGAATTAAGAAAAAGCACACTAGCAAAATGAAAAGTTTCAATTCTTTCTTGCCACAGAACTGTACGGGTACTTGCTGAATCCTCTTCCTAGAAAAACACTCAATGCTGATGCAAGTAGCTTATTTGAAAGTGTAGAACTTACATCCTGAAGGGCAACCATTTCTGTTTGCAGAGGCACTCTAACACTGAAGCCCATACTTTTGGAAAATGTCTTCAGTGAGTATCGTAAGCATTTGGACTGTCAAAGGACTGAGCCAAGGATTTTGTGATTTGGCCCTCTCAAAACAAAATATTACAAATTGCTGGTTCAGATGCCATGCTCTTTTCTCTTTTATAGGTTCTTTAGGGAACCATTGGTCCAGTCACGCTGTCATCTGGCATAATGGCAAAACTCCAATTGTCTTTAATAGGAAAAGTATCAGACTCCATGTACTGACATGGCTAAAGGGATCATTAATAGAAAATACAGCACATGGCTTTATTTATACTAGCAAAAAGATACTAAATAATTTACTGTTTTGTTTTCACGTATCAGAGGCACAGTTTTTGCTTTTGAAATTAAGTGGAAAGGGACCATTGATTTAGGCAGGAACGGCTTTAAATTCTAGCTTTTTTAAACAAAGAAGCTACTGAGGCTGTCATTCATGAGATGTGGCGGTAGAATATAAGGAAGGGAAAGAAAGAGGAACACCACCTGACTGGCGTTGCCCCATGAGGCCTATGCTCCATGTCACATAACGAGGAAGCAGTCATGCTAATGTACAGTGCATCTATCAGCTTTACAGCTGCATCTATTCCTGTTCCACATGACTTGATGAAAATCAGTAATTTATGCTTTAAGGAATATGTATTATTGATACATACTAGCGAATACTCTTGAGAAGTTAGTTGAGCCTCCTCCATTCAGTTCTTAAATGTGTATTCATTCTTGCCACATTTTCAAAATAAATATTCTGGAGCTGTTATATCCTGTACAGTTTCGGATTATGTTTCAGGCAAGTAAAGCCTGTTAAAAGAATGAAACCTGCTTTCATTGAGTACCACAGCCAAACTCTGATGTCTTCCAAGGGGCTGAAAGTTAATGCTAATGGTTTCTGTGTATGCCTTTTTGGATGTATACCTGCTTTTAAATAGCTGATACATAGAAGCATACCGACTTTTATCAACTATACACATTTTGTAATGCATATGAGTAAAATAAACACATAAATGGCACAAGCTGCTGCCACCGTCAGACAGAATACACTCAGCTTCCCTTGGTCTCAGAGGGTAAGCAGTCATGGGCCCGGCTGGCTGGGAATGTCTGCTGTAAGCCTAGGAACTGTGGTCAAACACTTGGTAAATACCAGACCACAGAAACTGAATACATGAGAAAATATCATCTGCCTGTTGCTCCTGAGATTATTTATGGGAATAAAAATTGCGAACGCTAGAAATAAAGACACATGTAACGTTCCTGTTGAACTAAGAAAGTCCTAAAGAAAGTGACGTAGCCTTTGAACTCGCATGGGTGTGACTCTAATGAATGCTGGGTATTTACAACACAGTTGATATTGTGGGAAAAGCTTAAGTATAATGACCTCTCCAAGCAAAAGAAAATAAATGTTTTAACAGGGGGGCAGGGGACAGTGGGTAAATTTCAGTATAGATAAATGCAGAACTATTTGTTATTAGTCTCCTTGTATTTTTCTGGGCTGCATGCAATTAAGCGTGTACTTCAATTCTTTCCAAAGGGCTCCGGAGAAGTGAGAGTCTGTCAGAGAAGCAAGTCAAAGAAGCCAAATCTAAATGTAAAAGTATTGCATTGCTGCTGACAGCAGCTCCCAATCCCAATTCCAAGGGGGTGTTGATGTTCAAGAAGCGTCGTCAAAGGGCAAGGAAATATACTTTAGTTAGCTACGGTACTGGGGAGTTAGAACGTGACGAAGACGAGGGTGAAGAAGGTGAAGGTGAAGGTGAAGAGGGGGACAAAGAAAACACTTTTGAAGTGAGTTTGCTTGCAACAAGTGAGTCAGAAATAGATGAAGATTTCTTCTCTGACATTGACAACGACGGTAAGATTGTGACATTTGACTGGGACAGTGGTCTGCTTGAGGTTGAAAAGAAGACAAAAAGTGGAGACGAGATGCAGACGCTTCCAGAGAGCACAGGTAAAGGGGCCCTCATGTTTGCCAAGAGACGGCAGAGGATGGATCAGATCACAGCTGAGCAAGAGGAGATGAAGGCACGCACAGTGCATACAGAGGAGCGAAGGGAAGCCACCATGTCAGAGAACTTCCAGAAAGTAAGCTCTTCAGTCTATCAAACAAAGGAGGAAGAAATGTCAAGACACCAGACCTGTGTGAGCAAAAGCTACATAGATATGAGCCAGAATCATAGCAAAACGGTACAACAAAATGGCTTTGGCTTAGCACCAGACACAAACCTGTCTTTCCAGTCCTCTGCAGCTCAAAAAGCTGCATCTTTGAATAAAACAGCTAAACCCTTCCCTTCTGGGGTTCAAAACCGAGCAGCTGCACCATTTTCACCCACAAGAAATGTCACCAGTCCTCTTTCAGATATACCAGCACCACCTCCTTACTGCTCTATCAGCCCACCACCTGAGGCTTTATACAGACCTGTTTCAGCTCATGTAGCCAGCAGAGCTGCCCCAACGGCGTGGTCACCCACCGAGCCAACAGAACGCATAGCATCCAGAGATGAAAGGATTGCGGTGCCAGCCAAAAGAACTGGGATACTGCAAGAGGCAAAGAGAAGAAGCACTTCAAAACCTATGTTCACTTTCAAAGAAGCACCCAAAGTAAGTCCTAATCCTGCCCTGTTGTCCCTTGTGCACAATGCAGAGGGCAAAAAAGGTACTGGAGCTGGTTTTGAGTCAGGACCTGAAGAAGACTACCTCAGTTTGGGAGCAGAAGCTTGCAATTTCATGCAGACTCAAGCATCTAAACAAAAGGCCCCTCCTCCTGTTGCTCCAAAGCCTTCAGTCAAGGTCTCTCCTACTGCTGGTACTCCAGTTTCACCAGTCTGGTCACCTCCAGCTGTAGCTTCTAACAAGACTCCTTCTTTCCCAGCACCAGCCTCGCCTCAGGCAGCATATCCTGCACCACTCAAATTTCCACAGCACCCTCACTCTCCTGCCCATCCCCCAAGTACTCTCAACCTAGCTGGTCCTTTCAAAGGGCCTCAGGCAACCCTAGCGAGTCCAAACCATACACCCAAGACAACACCAGTCACACCAAGCGCTGGAGGAACAAAGCCACCCTTTGAGATGCCACCAGCTATGAGTGGAAAAGGAGCACAGTTATTTGCCAGAAGGCACTCTCGAATGGAGAAGTATGTGGTAGATTCAGAGACTGTGCAGGCAAACATGGCGCGAGCCTCATCTCCAACTCCATCTTTACCAGCTTCTTGGAAATACTCATCTAATGTCCGAGCACCTCCACCTGTTGCTTATAATCCCATCCACTGCCCATCTTATCCTCCTGCTGCTACCAAGCCCTCCTCTAAATCCACTGCTGTTACCAAAAATACAAAAAGAAAACCTAAGAAAGGTCTCAATGCTTTGGATATTATGAAACATCAACCTTATCAACTCGATGCATCTTTATTTACTTTTCAACCTCCTAGTACTAAGGAAAGCCTTGCTATTAAGCAGACATCGAAGTTGTCCACTTCAAAGCAAGCTCTACCTTTAAGACCACCTAGTGCTGGCTCTCCTACCACTGCCCGGGCATCATCAGTGTACTCTGTGCCAGCCTACAGTTCACAAGCTTCCTTCCAGTCAAATGCCTCTATCCCAGTAAATGAATCACATTCACCTACAGGCTACTCCGCATTTTCTAAGCCAGAAACCACCACATCTTCTTTGTTTACTGCTCCGAGGCCAAAATTTTCAGCAAAGAAAGCTGGTGTCACTGCACAGGTGTGGAAGCCATCAATTATTGAAGAGTAAACCTTATAGCTGAAACTTAGTGTCCATTTTGCTTGCAATCACTTGTTTGCAGTGGTAACCTGGCATGGAAACAGTGCCAATAGTATTCCTTAGCTTACTTAATAACGTCAGATGTATCACCTCAAATCTGGGTCCAAAATATTTGAACTTTTTTAAGGAATGAAAATAGATAAAAATTTTAGCACATTTATGCATATTATCAGATGATTTGTACACATAACATCCTGAAGTGAACAGATACCATTGTTTTAAGTAAGCAGGACACTAGGTTTTTGCTTTAGGACTACTAAAAGAGAAACAACAGTAAGCAATATTCCTGGTATGTCAAATTAATAGAGAAGAGTTTTCTTTCTGCTCCCCTCCCCAACTACGTTCTAATGACCTAGGGATTTGAGGGCTTTTTTTTTTAAAGAAGTGCCTTATTAAATGATATTAATAGTAATATGTATTACTAACATAGCATAAAACAGGTACAGTATTAGACTCTGACTGATCACTAGCAGAATACAACTGGATAGACCTTTGGCCTGCACAGAGCCCCACTGAATTCAGTCAGAATCTGTCCTGGCTCAAAGGTCCATCCACAGGAATCTGGTTGATCAGCCAGGGGCTTAGTTTGTAAGCTATGTGGATCAGCTGTGATCCAAAATCATGAATTGCCTCTGTGATTTCACAGAGAATGTCCTATAAGAGATGCTGGAGTGTTCTGAAGACTAAAAGAGGTGGGAAGACAGCTGGAAAAATTGTTAAAGATTTCCCATTTTGGGGAAATTTGACATCCCAAGCGCAAACATATTTTTAGCCAAACTTTGCCTTGAATCCAGCAAGTAAGATAGAAGCCAGTAAATCAAAAATATTGAACAGTCAGAGAGGTGAGCTGGGTTTTGCAGCTGCAATGTAATGCAATAGTTTCTTGTGAAAGCACAGTGATTGAGAACTGAAGGGACACATGTATTCAAGAGTACTGATTCTTGCAACCAGAGTAGTATATGCCACAGAAATTAGCATTTAATGGTAAATCATAAATATGACCATGTCTTCCTATTGGTCTCTCATACACATTTTATTATTTTCACTTGGGGCTTTACAGTGCTGCTTCTCACTTTAAATCTTTTTACTCTGGTCTTATACTTTCACCTTTTACTTGTCGTATTGGGGACTAAGTATTGAAATACTGCTACTGTAGAAAATTCTTAAGAATCTGTGGTCTTGAAACCTACTGTATGATACTGCAGTGAATACACAATCTTGCTGAAATCAAGAGGTATATTTGAATAGTTTAGCATGTTTTTCAGTAAGCAGTCCTGTTAAAATCAGTGGTGCTAGGTCTGAAACAAGGTGTTGTTTTACACAACTAAGGGTATCAAAATCCATCCCAAGTGCAAAGCTCAAGATTGAAGCATCACTCTGTGAATAAAGGTGGCAGAATCTGTAGAAATATTTTTTTAAACTACCAACCAGCTAGCTACAGACCAGATTATGGATTTTTTATATCATAGGGGTTTTAATAGAACTATCTATCTTGATGGAGAAAACATTCCCCAGTATGAACAAAATCTCCTTAGGTTGATCCCATGATGGTAATTCAAACTGCAGTCAAACTTGAGAAGAATGCATTTGGTTGTACATGCAGAAAGCAGACTGCAATCGAAGTCTGATCGAGCCAATATCCTTTGAATTTTAGACCTCCAAAATCCTACTGTCCCCTTTAAATTTTGGATTGGGATACTGACTGTATTAGAAGAAAATGACCAAGTGACCCATCTCCCTCTTAAAATTCAGCAGAATAATGGGAAATTTTGAAAAAAAAATAGTTTGGAAAACTCAAGAAAGAATTACACTGCATTTACCTGGAAACAGAAAGTAGCAATATTTTAATCCTTTGGAGATCTCCCTTCTATCTGTTTTCCACTGTCAATATCTGTATTTTTCTTCTATCATTAAACTTGTCCCTTTCCTCTCTGCCTGTTTGGGTTTCTTTCCTTTGGTTTGGTTTCTATTTTTCTGTTTCACTTACATGTACAGACTGACAGTATATTTTAGGGGAAAACTGTTTTCTATGCTATCCTGTTAATATGAAATCTCCTTCCTCCAATCACCTCCCCTTCTCTTCCCTCTCCACTTACCCCTTTCCCTTTCCCTTTCCCTTTCCCTTTCCCTTCCCTTCCCTTCCCTTCCCTTCCCTTCCCTCCCCTTCCCCCCCCTTCCCCTTCCCCTTCTCCTTTCCCTTCCCTCCCCTTCCCCTTCCCCTTCCTCTTCTCCTTTCCCTTTCCTCCCTCCTTCCTTCCCCTCTAGTAAAAGTTTTATCTGAAGTTACATATACTATTTTAGGTAGAAGTACTAGTATCTACTTGGAATAAAGATACCCTATCAAAGATAAGTAGTGCTGCTAGAGAAATCCAATCAGCCTCATATTGCCTTACACGTTTTTACTTACAGTCTCCTCCTGTAAAATACATCTGTAAATTATAATCACACTTCTGTACTTGTTCACCCTACCACCCCAAGAATATTTCCTTAATGAGGAGATTTTTAGCAATTTTGTACTTCCACCACAAGTGTTGATGTTGATGCATCTGGCTACTAACAAGATACAGCAGCTTACACAGCACGGCCACCCATTCATATCAGGCTCAGGTCAGTAACTTTTGGAATTCATCACCAGCTACTGCGTATCCTGTGTGAAATATGTGAATTACTGAAATCTAACTTCTAGGTTTATATATGCCCACATGGCATAGCGCTTCCAAGTAAGAAATAATAAGAATAATTATTCTAATTATCAGCAGAAGTAACAGGAGGTAAAGCTGGGATATATTCTCATCCAAAGGAAATCAGGTCTCCAGAAAAACAGAAGTCAAGTTAATAGGAGCTAGAGGAGAGCTACGGACTGAAACAGAACATTTCAGTTTCCTGAGTCATCCGTCTAGAACTAAATTCACCTGAAAGACAGAAATGCATAATTGTAATCTTTAAAATCATTTTGCTATTTCTTTCATTTTCAGCACAACCCAAAAGTTCACTTAGGAAGTCAACTAAATCATATGCATGTTTACAGCAATAAGCAAAAAGTCAGCTTCTGTGATAGCAATATAAAACATAGCTACTAGCCTGTCTTCTCTTTACTTTGTCCAAAAGAAAAGAAAGTTAATCTCTGCTGAAAATTTGGATTTTGATCACATTTGGATTTTTTGCTGTTATTCAAATACAAGTATTTCATATGGCCTATAGCAATGACAGAAGGATTTCTTAAAGCACCAATAAAAGTTAAAAGCAAAAGCCCCAGTGACACTAGTCCTCTTAACTCAGCTAAGATCTTTTGAAAATCCCATTCAAAGTCCAACTCTGAATTCAATTTCATATATGCACATCATTCTACATGCGTAGTCCTTGGATCCAACTTGGCTTCAAAACTCCTGTTACTAATCAGGTAAGTCTGTAATTCTTATTAATATTTCAGAAGACTAGCCTAATTGAAGTAACATTTTTATCCAAAATGTAATCTCCTGTGAAGCAGATATTTAGAGGAAAGTTGAGCTGTCCATTGTCATGGGTCCAAATTAAAAGCTAATGATGATGTCAAACATAGCTGAGATGTCAACAAAATGAATGGTTTGTGTACAGAGGAACCATCTGAAATTTCACTTTGAAAGGGCAGTGTGCTTTTGGAAATGTTTTTTGTTAAAAAGCTATTATTATTTTAATGTAATATGACAAAGCTACCAAGATGAAATTGTTATGTTTACTATGTAAGCGTATTTAACAGTGAATTTTAGGCCACCCCTAATAACAATACTTCCAGTGTGTTCACGTTAAAAGAGGAATTTAAGTGTTTTATGTTGTTTTTAGCACATTTAATTACAGAACATACTGGAGGTATTATACTGCACCAGTTTGGATCTCACATTCTAGACAGCCTTTTCATGAAAACAGCTACCTCAGTCAAGGGTTTCTATACTTTCAATTTCTGATTCAGTTATAAACCTCGTTATAAAACCTGAATTGAAAACTTGGTTTGGAGATGAGTAGCTTTTAGACCAAAAGTTAAAACTTTTGTTGCAAAAATAAAAGACAAAATTTAGTTCTTGAACAAAGAACTGCTTAACTTCTCCCCCCTTCTCTAGGGGAACCATGTTCCTGCTCAGCAAAAGATAACATATTATGAAACAAAGATATTTCAATGAATTTTTTCTGTAGGAACATTTACAGAGTAAACATTACCGTCTCTTACAAGTAAGCCTCATTCTTTTGCTTTCTTCTCTGTTACGGAAGAAATAATTTTGCCACTGTCCTAAGACATGTGACAATATCCAGTGACAATAAGCTGCTTGGTTCCAAAAGCACCTGGCTGATGGCATGGGACTTCTTTATAATACATTCATATCAAGACTTGCAGCAAGGAATGCCCAGTTCTCTTCTGGACGCACTGACAATTCACTGTGAGATCAAGCCAATGTCATTTTGAGATCAGCCGTCAAGAGGAGGTTTCAGTTAAGCCTGAAGTCTTCTTGCAGTGACCCTAATTTTATGTACCTTTTTTTAAAAATTTGTTTTTTATACCTAATTTTATTTTATATGAGACATTCAAGAGTAGAGACACAAAATCAGCCCTAAAACTGCCATGACCCATTTTGCTGTCACCACAGCAATCAGGTGGCAATGAGTTTATTTTCTTTTTGGCAGAGTACTGTTATTATTCACACTAAAGCAAATGTTCCGAATTCACACAAATTTGTATTTAAAGTAAAGAAATACTAAGAGGTTGAGGTATCAGCAGGCTCCAGAAATTAGGAAGTGAGGGGCCAGTGTGTGGTTCAGACAGGAAAATGAGTGCTAGGTGGCAAAGCAGCAATTTTGAGAGAAAAAACTACCAGGATTAGAGGCGGCCAAGCAGTGGGGAGAAAACTCCAGGAAAAAAGCAGAGACTGCACAGGATAAAATACCTATCACAGGATCATGAAGTACTGAAG